GGGTTGTTAGGAGCGCGGCGTCGACCGGGAGCGTCAAGCTACCAGACCGCTCCCCAGTATTGCTGCTGCAGGGTAGCCCCGACGACGACGTTCAGATGTCAGCAAGCGCGTGGCAGAATTGAACACGTGCACACACACGCACACACACACACACACACACACACTTTCTCTCCAGTCTCCCCACGCATGCGCGCACTTGCCCTCGTACGCGCGAACCCACCAACTCACACACGCACCCCGGCACCGGTCCTCCCCGCCCATATGGCACCCAACGCCCCCCCCCCCAAACACACACACCCACGCACGCGCACACACACACACACACACGCGCGCGCGCGCGCGCACGCGCACATAAACACACACACATTTACGTGCAGCACCACCTCCCCCAAAAAACACACGCACCTTGCCCTCGATGTCCATAACAATCTCCATCATCTCGTTCATCGACACCATCTCGGTGCTGCCCAGGTTGAGGGGCTCCCTGAACTCGCTCTTGGTGATGCGCAGCACGCCCTCCACGCAGTCGTCGATGTAGGTGAAGCTGCGCGTCTGCTTGCCGTCGCCCCACATCTCGATCTCCTCGGGGCTGGTCAGGACCTGGTTGGGGCGAGGGAGCGCGCGAGAGCCGGGGTCGTGGCGGCGGGCGGGGCTGGTGAGGGCGAGGGGGCAGGGGCCGGCCGAGGGCGTGCTTGTGTTGTGCAGGCGCGGGGTTGAGCAGGCGCTCCTATTTCAAAAATCGAACAGCAGGATTGTGTCCAGGCACTGCACATCTACGGCGCAGGTCATTGCTTGCGCGCAGACACACACACACACACACACACGCACACACCAGGCACCCACCCATTATGCACAACTTGCGCACATGTGTGTGCACAGACACAAGCCCAGCACGTCCCTGCGCCCCCCCCCCCACCTTCCGGCAGAACGCCGCCGGCGCCTTCTCGCGCCCGCCCTTCCACGTCCCGTGGGGCCCGTAGATGTTGTGGAACCGCCCGATCCTGCACTCCAGACCAAAGTCCTTGTCGTAGTGCATGCACAGCTCCTCCGTGGCCAGCTTCTCCAGGCCATACGCGTCCTGGGGCTGCGCCGGCCAGGCGTCAGACTCCTTGAGGCCGCCGCCCTCAATCTCCACGTCGAGCTGCTTGTACTCCGGGTAGATGCACGCTGACGAGGCGTAGAACAGGCTGCGCTCGAGGGCGGCGCGAGGGCGGGGCGAGGGAGAGGCGAAGCAGGGGCGTCGGGGGGCGGCGCAGGCAGGGGCGGAGGGCGGCGGCCGGCGCGCCGCGGATGCGGGCCGCGAGAGGGGTCGGGGCTGGCAAGGGCGGCTGCTGGGGCAGGCGCTGGCATGGCTTTCAGAGTTGGGGGCTCACCGCTGGACCTTTGCCTGACGGCAGGCCTCCAGGAAGCTGCGGGGTGCAGGAGGGGAAGGTGCAGGGAGCAGGAGTCAGCGGGGGATGACGTGTAACACACGGCATGCACACGTCCGCACCCACGGCTGCGCGCCTGCGCCGGTCACCGAGCGCCGCCGCGCCGCGCGGCCCCTTTGAAATCGGCATGCACGCGCGCGGCCGCCGCGGCCACCGGCCCCGCCCCTTCCCGTTCCCCCTCTCCCTCGCCCCCGCCTCCTCACTTGTATGAGATCATGGTGTTGTTGTAGAGGATCACCGAGTGGTTGGACTGGATGAAGCCCATGCCGCCCATGTCCGCCGCCATGTGGAAGGCGTGGTCGCAGCCGGACACCACCTTTTTGCAGTTCTCAAACAGCCGCAGGTCCACCAGGTGGAACTCGTCGCAGAACTCATCCTCCTGCAGGAGAGGTCGTTGCGCGCGCGCTTTTGTGGATGCGAGGGCCGGGCGGCGCGCCGCGGCGCTGGGCGCCGCGCGAGGGTGGTGGAACTGGGGGGCTGTAGACGCCCGGCCGGTCTGCTCGCTGCCCTGGCGCCAAGGGGCGCCGCTTGGGGGCGCTTCGCGCAGAGGAGACGGCGGCGGCGGCAGCGGGCAGCGGCCGCGCGCCGCACGTGCGTGCCAGCGACATCCCGCGCGCCCCTGTGCGCGCACCGAAAAGTGCTCGTTGCGCTTCCAGTCGCAGGCCACGATGTAGTGGCCCTCCGACCTCAGGCGCCTCGCCAGGTGGCTACCAATGAAGCCGCCTGTGTGCACCGGGCAAGCGGGCGCGCGTGGAGGCGCTTGGTGCTGGGGTGAATCGCGGCGCGAAAGCGTGCGGAGCGCTTTCTCTCACGCAAAGCGCACGCTCACGCGCGCGAGCGGCGCAGGCCGGCTCACCCGCGCCAGTCACGCATATCTTGAGAGTACGCTCAGGCCAGTATGGCTCAAAGGGGAACTTGGCGAGGGCCGAGACCTGCGCGTGGTCACAGGCACCCAGGCCCGAAGAATGATCAGGGCGCAGGCTGCCGCACGGCAAGCAGGCGTAAACTCATGCATGTGATATCGTTCACGCAATTGGCCGTATCGCACCCCCTCCGGGCTCAGCTGCGGCTGCGTTGATGCCCCACCCTGGGCGCATCCCAGGGTTGCGCGCAATCCTGGTGCCCTGAGGGCCCCAAAGCCAAGTATGAGAAGCTCACCTCACGATAGGAGGCGTGCACCTCCTGGTTGCTCTGCTGGCCGACCATGGTGGTGTGTGAGGGGTGCGCCGCGGGAGAGCTGGGAGCTCGAAAGCTCCGGGTCGATGCGGGGATGGAGAAGATGATAGAGACGGTCCTTTGTATGGCCGCGGGTTGGTTCCGCGGGTGAAGGACGTCGAGCTGGGGGTCGGGTGGAGGTGAGGATGGATGGGTGTCGCCGTATGTAGGGCGGCAGCTGGTGGTTCGATATGGAATCGAACGCTCACAGCTGAAGGTGATGTGCTGAGGTCCTGAGCTGACTTGTGTCTGGGCGGCGCGCGCAGCATCCCCACGGCACCGAAAGTTCAATGGCCACCGGCGGTGCTGTGCCAAGCGCTGGGACCCGGCGAGCTCAGGTGAGTTCGGTTATTTTGTAGCATGCGGTCAAACCGTATTGAAGCTGTGAAAGCTTTCCACCCACTCCTTGGCGCCTTCTAAGTTGAATTGGGAGCACGAGGGCTCGGACAGGACAGGTGTCCACACCACCGCGGGTCCTGTTGGCCACTTGGGCAGGGGTGTTCCAGCGCCCACAGGCACCCACCATAGAAGTCAGCAAACAGCTCGCACACGCTGCACGCAGTGGGTTGGGTGGCGCTGGCCAGCTGAAGGCCCCCACGGGGCCTGCTAGCAGACACCACAGCCAAGCACAGCACGGCTTCTCTGGACTGCTGTGGCTTCTCTGGACTGCTGCGATTAATCTGGAACGTTGCAGGCCGCTGCTTCATGCGTCACTACGCATACATTGCTGCACTGTCCACCACACTGCTGGCGGCGACTTTGGCAGGTCAAGCAGCAGAGGAGCGCCCAGTATCAGTCCTGGAGACTGGGCGGCAGGGCAGATGCACGTGGGCCTTGCTCTCATTCTACCTGCTGCTGGGCGTGCCGCTCGAGGCCTTTCGTTGTGCGCATTAGCTAGAAGTTTGTTACATTGGCAATGCTGGTCGGCACTTGTTATTCAGGCCTAGAGCAGCAGGGCACAGCGACGGCGCGGCGTTTATGACTCGCATGGACAGGGCGCGGGGGCAGATACCTGAAAACTCAAAGCCGCGGAGCAAGCAGCATGCCGCAGCAGTGGCTGTCGGCAGCAAGCTGTCTCGCACACAGCGTCGTAAGTTTTTGTAATGCTGAAACAGGAAGCTCCGCGGAGCAGGGGGCTCCTTCTCACGTGATTCACTGCCCACTGGGGCATATGCCATGAACCTGCGCGCGGCAGCAGCAAACGGAGCATTTTTGCGCAAGTGCGCGCGTGGGCGCTCAACCCGGCGGCGATGCCGAGCGCACAAGTGAGGACTGGAAAAGAGACCGACACCCACACAGGTGGGTGCCTCTGTTGCATAGCGTCCACAAGGGTGGCCAAGCTGGGACAGACAAAAAGCGGGTGTCATGTGGCGCCGCTCTATTGAGCTTTGTGCCAGGTCAAGCTTTGGGCAGGAAAGCAGGATTAGGCCTGAACTTGCTTGGCTGTGTTGCCGCGCAAACGTTCGTGCGAGGTGCAGCTGCCCCCCCCTAGAGGAGGGGTCACGCATGCAACTGCCCCTGCTTTGCAGCAGAACCACCTGGCAATGCACAGCAAATTGCTCATGCGAATCATATTCTCATGACTTGGGTCATCGATGGTGGTGGAGGGGATGCAACAGTCTGTCCGCATGCTTTTGCGGATGGAGCAGTGCATGCGTGAGGCGTGCGCAGTGGCGCAGTGTGCTCATGCCACCATACGCCGAGTCACTCAATTGTAGGCGGCCTCATATGATGGAAACGTCAAAGGTGCGCCAGTTCATGCAGCATCCAAGAAGCACAATTGGTAGCACTATGCTTGTGTGGTCCAATGAGCGTGCGAGTCATTGTTTATATAGAGCAATTTTATGAGGGCAGTTTTGAGAGCCAAGCAGGTGTGGAAAGCATGCACGCACGGGCGGCATGCTTTAAGTTGGTTGTGTACCTCAAACCAGGTGCAGTAGCTGTATGTCAACGGAACAGCAAGGCAGTTCGGACTGCCATGCGCCCATCAATCAATCGTCAGTGCCACTTGCAGGATGGCGGCGGCTGTGAGAGGTTCAGGTGCCCATGCATGATGGGTATTGCTTTCAAAGCACAAGGTGTGAAGCACATTTCGATTCACCTGGCATATGAGGGTGGTAATGAGCATCAGGGGCGGCATCGCCCAAGTGGCAGCTGAAAACATGAGCACAGCAGTTTTTATTCGGCAAGCCGACATTCAGCCAGCATTGCACGTAGCATCGTCTGCAAATGGCACGATTCCGCGTCATTATTCAGGGGCATCTTGATATGCATCAGAAGTCGTAATCGCTCATCATCCTGCCCAGCGCCTCGTCATTGGGTGCCACAGGGGCAGCATCGTCCACCGAAGCAGCGGAGTAAAGCGCCGCGGGCGAGGCAGGCGCCTTGCCCTGGGCCTGCTGGAAGGCGGCAGGCAGCCAGTGCTGCAGGCCGCCATACTCTGAGTGATGCAGGTGGGGGACAGGATTAAGGGTTAGACAAACATCATTAGGAGTTGCTGTACACGAGCTGCAGGCATTGTGCTGAGGGAGGCCTGGAGGCTTGCACTTGAGAGTGAGAGAAGATATGTTTGTGTGTGTGTGTGTGTGTGTGTGTGTGTGTGTGTGTGTGTGTGTGTATGTATGTGGCACGCGCGCGCGTGCGTGCATGCATGCGTGCGTGCGTACGTGCGAGCGGGCGTGCGTGCATGCGTGCGTGCGTGTGAGCATGTGTGCGTTGTAATGTGTCTGTGCGGGCGAGCGTGCATGCATGCATGCGTGTGCGCATGTGTGCGCCTGCACCTGTGCGTGCCATGCATGCATCTGCAGGTGCATGCGCGCATGCTTGACTATGCATGCCTCAACCCTGATGCGGCTTGTACCCCTTGGTGTACGGATCCAGCATGGCTGGGAGCGCACCTTCAATGAAATGCAAAGCGACACGGTTGCACCTGCAGAGAAAGGCAAGCAAAGGGCAAGTGTGGAGCAGACAGAGAGGACCTCGACTGCTGACACAGGATACTAGCCAGGTCAAGGCAATGGCGCTCTAATCTGGCCAAGCCCCTGTGATGCCCACAACAAGCGCGAAGGCAAATCGCAAGAAACCATGTGTGGCAGAACCCTACAACGCCATACACACTCACTTTTTGTCGGGGGCGACGCCGTTGCGCCTGCAGGTGTTGCGCAAGGGGGACGGCAGACGCGGGGTGTCAGCAGCCACAGTGCAGTGAACCATGCAGAACCACCTGATCTCTTAATTGAAAGCACTGCAGACATTCTAATCGGCAAGCTTTTGCTCAAATGCGATCACGATGCTTTGGCTCACCACGCGTTTACAATGCGGGGGTTGATGCCCTTGGTAGCGAGCTTCCACCTGAGCCCGATCTCCTGGCGTGTCGTCACCGCAAGACCGTCGGGTGTCGCCTCCCTGCGCAACCAGGTTGCATGCGAGAGCGGGACTGCGCACCCTGCATCTAAAGCAGCGCAAGGTATCGCAGCAGGCGCCCAGATCTCTGGTCACACCACCAGACCACTGGACGTGGTCTGGTGGTCTGGTGGTCTGGTCTGGTCTGGTGGTCTGGTCACTGGTCTCCAGGGTTCTAGGCTTGCAAACCCCAGGTCGATGATTTCGAATTGAAGGTCCACATGGGCCCTCGGACCCGCGCAAGTGACATTGACAAATGATTTTCAGGTGCGACTTCCCGTGTTTGACCACCCCGCGCACCAGGAGTGCTCAGTGCGGACGGACCAGGCGCAACCCGCGCGCGAACAGCCGCGGACCGCAAACTGGATCTTGTTGCTCTCCATGATCCGGACCACCGAAGTGCCTGCAGGGGAATCATGCAGCCAGGTTGGCTTCAGCTGTACAAATTTGTTGCGATGCATGGCACGCAATTGGTTGCTTGTCATGCTGCCAACCACTCCAGATCAATGTTTTGGGCCACGTGTGCACGTGTGCACGACAGAAGAGCCTGCTGATATGCGTGTGCTCCCCCAGTCTGTCACCGTGGTGGAGCGGCAGACGCACTTCCTACTGAGTTTGTACTGCGCACCATGCACTGTATTGCAATGTGCTCTCAGTCACATGGGACTAGTTATCCGCTCACCATTCACGTGGTCGATGCTGAGCTTGAGGTAGTCGCCCGGCTTAGTCGCCTTTGTAACACCAGGGTTTGGCACATTGGGACCGCTCGGGCAGACGTAGGGGGCGCTCATGTCGCCGGTCTCCTTGCAGCCAGTGGCCTGGAATTCGCGCCAGTTGGTCATGGGGGTGAGCTTGCTGTGCTTTGCCGCTGGCGAGTTGAATGGTGAGTGGCTGGTCCAGTAGTAGACATGGTCACGGGGGTGGAACAGCAAGAAGTTCGGGTACTTGGTGCCGTTGACAACCTGAGGCAGGGAGGAAAAGGGGCAGATTAGGAGCAGTCAGGCCAGACATAGGTTTTGGACGATGCGGCTTGTATGCGGCCAAACGGTCACTGTGCAGTGCAGGCGCAGCGGCAAGCAAACGGGCCCGTTTATACAAAAGCAAGCGGCCTGGCAGCAAGCTTACAGATGCACCCTGCATGTTGTTGTAGAGCCTGCAATGAAGAGGTGTTGCGTGGCAGGCCGTTATTGCGTGATTGGCCGCCAGGGTGGCATTGCGCGCCTTCCTGGGGCCCTAAACGCCTTCCCCGTAGATGCCTGGCTACATGGCACCTGTGCTTCTCCGGCCGATCTTGGGGAAAGCGCAACCGGCGAGCCAGAACGTCATGGGACCATGCAATCGCCTGCTGGTTGAACGGCGTTAACAGCTCACGCGCACCACGCAGCCCATCCCATCCCACGCGATGCCCACCAGAAGAGCATCTCAGGGGTGACCCCAGGGATGGGCTTGTGCCGCACTTCAACGGTCATCATGTTGTTCTCTGCCGTGCTGCAGCTCCAGCTGCGAGAGTCAGCATAGGTCCTGAAATTCCACATGGGGGGCCGCGCGCCGGCCGCCGGGAACACCTGCACGTCGGACGCGGACGGGCGCGGCAGGGCGACGGGTCACGAGCGGCTCCTGCGGGCGCGTCCGGCTGCAGGCCTGCCTCAAGGGACCAGTCGCAGACGCCCGGCCCACAGCAAGCGCACATTCTGGACACTCCCGTCACACCCCTGACCGGCCCAAACATACCGAGGTGTCGGTCAGAAGCTGGCGGTCGATGGCCGGCGTCGGCCAGTCGTCACCATCATTAGGGAAGCCCTGGCAGTACCCGTTGGACATCAGCAGCAGGGAATCTTCTGGCACCCGCTTCATCAGGCAGTTGTTGTTCCTTGGATCGCCACTGGAGAATTGCCTGCACGCGTTGCAGGTGTTTTGCGGCAGAGGGGCGGCGATTTACTGGGCAGGTGCATAGTAGGGGTGTCAGAGTCTGCTGCGGACTCTGCCTTGCTTACTTCATGCAGCAGGGCTTGATTGTGACCTTCCGCACAAAAGAGTTAGTGACACGTCTGGCCACCACACGTGCGACAGCAACAAGCCGCAGATCCCAACGTGCCACGACAGCTTCAGTCAGAGCCACAGCCAAAAATAGGTGCCCAGGCCTAGGAGGCGACCCGGTCAAGTGAAGAGTCGGCCCTGCCCCGCACCTGAAGAAGCAGATGTAGGGGCAGCCGTGCACCCCCGCGACCAGGCCCTTGGACGCTGTCATTTTGATGTGGTTGGTGAAGGTCCACACGTCCGTCTGCACCAGCATGTCGGACGCCCTGACCATGATCTCGCCGCCAGGGTGCTGGTAGCTGCAGGGCAGGTGGTCGGCCGCGTGGAGGTTGTTAGTCCAGGAGGTTGCTTTTTGGAGGGGCTGACATCAAGGCGATGAAGGCGAGCCGTGCAGGCGGCGCAGGACTGAGTTGGGTAAAGTGAGACCTTAAAAAGCATGCCCCAGAACAGAGAATGGATTCATGATTGCGGCCCTGACTGAGCTGGCAAGAAGTGAGGAGGGGTGGGTGCTGCTCACTCGCTCCAGTAGTCGCGGCCAGAGCCAGCTGTGTCCACCGTTGGCACGAGGGTATTGGCGCATGCCGGCATGGAGGCCTGCTTTGCATCCTTGGCGCTGGCGCACGGCAGGATGGTGAAGGGGTCGTTCTCAAAGGCGATGCGGCGGATGTTGACGGCGGCGTTGATGCTTGCGGCGAACCTGCTGTCGCCAACTGCAGGGGTGAAGGTCGCGGGTTAAGTCAAGGTTGTTAGAAGGTGATCAGGGTGGGGTTGGGTAATTGCCTGGCATTGCAGCATGACCAAGCAGGCACTGCACCAAGAGTTGATGTCAGAAGTGATACCACAGCACTGGGTCGGCCATGCGCCCGCGAGTGACGTGTGCTGCATATCAGTACCGCCAGCTGCTCACCCAAAGGGCCACCGAAGGTCACCAGGCCGGCCTTGATGTTGATGTTGCGGTGGATGAGGAACGTTTGAACCTGACCAGGGTTGTGGGTGGTGCAGCCGGGTGGTTGGTGAACGGCTGGCAGCTTGGGCCCAGGCTGCAGGACGACGATAGGTCGCGCAACTCAGGCCACAACTAGGTGTGGACATCCCCGCTTCTTGGCTGCATTGCGCGTAATCGCTGCGTCATGTATTTACAGGCCTCTGTGCTACTCACGGCGTAGGAAAGCATGGTGGCAACGGCGGCGCCCTGCGAGTGCCCCGTAAGGGTGATGGCTTTGATGTTGCTGCCGGCGGCGGCCACCTCTGCCTCAAGCGCTGTGCGCACGTGCGGCCAGAGCGCATCGAAGCCGAGGGTGAAGCCGACGTGGGTCTCCCCGGGGATCTTTGCCGTGTCGGAGCCATTGTTGAGGGCAAAGGGGAGCTGTAGGGTGCGGTTGTACATGAAGTCTGGGTGGGCCGCGCAAGGGGTAACCAAGAGTCGGTGTTAAGGTGAGCGAGGCACTTGCCCATGGCCGACACACCACACGCGCTTCATTGGCTGTGCGAAACATATCCAAGGCCTGCACGTCCAGTTGATGGCTGACAGGCCGTGGTTGCATCGACTTCGGTATGAAGCATGTGCATTGTTAATCATATTCCCAGCAGGCACTTGATACAAGCAGTCGCCGCTGCCCCCTTACTGGGGTCTGAGCACCTCGTCCGGTCCCCCTTGCAACTCACTCCGTGCCCACTCCAGCTTTGTGTTGCTGCCGCGGATCGCCACCACGAGGTGCCGCGTGGACGCATGCTTCAGGATGACCATGATGGGGTAGCGCCTGCCGTTCTGCGGCAGAGTGTACACGCCAGCGGGCGCGCCTGGTGCGGCAGGATCGCTCCCCACCATCTCCCAACCGGTGGGGACCAGGTAGCCGGGGGGAGGAGCCGCCCAGCAGCTTGGAGCACGGCCAGTACCACTTGCTGCATTCCCAAGGCAGGGGGGGGGGGGCGAGGGGTTGGGACACCGCCCAGCTGCGCCTTGCCAGCACGCAAGGCGTTCTCTTACCCAGCTGCATGCCGCCTAACACGTGTCCTCTTGCTCCAGCATGTGTGCCCTGTCAGCGTCCGAGGTCATCTGCCGTCCTCCAGCCCCACGTGCAGTGGCATCCCAAAGCCCACCAACACCCCAGTGCCCGGCCCCTCACATGTTGCGGATGACCTGCCACATCCAGTTGTAGGTCGCGCCCTCGGCAGACAGCAGACTTTGGAACTTGTACTGCAGACCAGAGTGCTGCCCGCGCTGGTTGAACTGTGCGGGGATGCTGCTGGGCACCGTGAGAGTCACGGGTGCGAGCTGGCCTGCAGGATAGTGGGGACCGCGGAGATGATTTCCAAGAAGAAATTCACGAGAACGGCCTTGAGGCGCCCACTTTGCCCACATGCATCTTTAGGAGTGGGAAGCAGCAGGCGTGCTGCGTGCGTCCTCAGGCACTGAACACTGCTGGCTGGCCCATCAGGCCCGTCCCACGTGCCCCCTTGCAAATGCGATCATCGTTGCTGCTATCAAGCCCCTCAGCGCAACCATTGGGGTGACGCTGCAATTCGACCCACCGTTGGAGCCCTGCGCCAGGGGCTGGACCTGCTTGCCGTAACCGGTGTCCGCGTAATCAGGACAGACGTCGTCAGGCAATGCGACCAGGCCGCTGGCCAGTGATGTCACCAGGTCACATGCCTTAGTGTGGTTCTTTGCATTGGTTTCGCTGCAAGAGCATGCAAGCGCGTGGCGTCAAGGTTTCAACGTGGGGCGCGCCGTGACTGGTGGGACAGGCGCTGTCAAGGGCCGTCAAGGTGGTGGTGATATTCGCTTGCTTGTCTCAGTCTCATGAAAAGCGCGGCATTTGCAAATTCAAGCCAGCATAGCACGAGCAGCAGTGTGCTTACGTCACATAAGAGCAGATGTAGTGCACCGGGATGGTTTCGCTGACTGCAAAGTCAGAAATGGACTGCGCCGCCCCCTTTCGAGTTGCGGCGAGCAGGCAGCAGAGCAGCAGCGTCCAGCCCGCTGGGGCGGCGCATCGCTGTGACCAAGGCGAGCGCCGAAAGACCGCCATGCCTGAGCCTTGTTCCACGCGTCCTTCTGGGTGCAGTGAATGAAATGGGAATGATTTCGTGTTGAGGAAGCGTTGCAACGTGACCGAAGCGTCCTGGCTCTGCACATAGCGCACGTGGCCACGCTTGCATAACCCGGGCCCGCTTGCAACATGCAGCACGTGCAGGTATCTCCGCTTAGCACTGCTCCTCGCACTGTTGCAAGTGACTTCAAATTATCTATCAATCTAAATGTAATTCAGCAGGGTGAAATGCTAGGGTTGTGTGGATTTCCCAGACTGGCAATCCCAAATTAGGCACCAAAACGGAGTTGCAGCAGACTCGTCCCGGGGGCGTTGAGCGCCTAGGCCTTCCGCTGTGCTGTTCACCCAATCACATGTATTCGAATCTGGTTTCTTTGCTCGTGTCGCTCACCAAGGCCCCCGCTTGTGGCGACGCGATCCTCCAAGCCGCTCGCGAGCGGGTGCGCGCTGACAAGCTACGGTATTGTGTTACCAGCAACGCGAAGCTAGGACAAATCACTTCAGACTATATCGAGCATTTGAAACGAGTTCTACTAAACTCTGGATAAGAAGTGAGAAAAGCGGCCGACTTTAATCACGCGGCTTGGCCGTCCAGCCCTTGGCCGCTCTGCTGAAATCATGCGGGATACAGCTGAAAACTGTCGACCATAGAGATGGCCAGTTGAGGGTGTCAAGTAGTGTCAAGTAGTGTCAAGCCGACTTCTTCGCATCAGGCGACATCAATGGTGCGAGTGAGGCGGATGCATAGCACACCACACTGTCGGTGCCCGTTTGGATCCCGGTGCGCCTTACAAAGGTTTATTGGTAGAGTGCCTTGCAGTGCGGTCCTGCCAGGTGAAGCACGCGCATGCAGCAGCGAACCGTGTATGGTATCACATACCGTACAAGATTGGTATTTGTACCATCATCTTAGGAGCATAGGCCCGGCATGAGGGCGTTAGATGATGAGATGTTAATAGTTGCTGGAACCCTGTGCACAACAATCTTCCAGGCAATCGCACCGGCTCTGCATTGGCGCTCGTCAAGCGAGTCAAAATTGCTGCTGTGTGAGTTGGCCATGAGGCTAGGGTGCTCCTGGGCCGCATATGGCGCGCCGCGCCGGTGGCAGCGTAGCAAAGTATGCATGTACAAACACGTATCGCATTTGACATGCTGACGAGGCCCGGGAGGCTGGTGTGCGCTGGCTTGGTGCCCACACCTGGGCCCCGCTTACGCCTGACAGGGCGGACCGCCTTCGTGATCGGCCTTTATTTTGTTGTTATACAATATGTTTATTCCTCACCGGTCTTGGAGGTCATACATGCGTGATTTCGAGGGGTCGCCTTGGCTGCACCGTCCGCGCGGCCCCGCGCACGTCCCAGGATTTTTGTGGCGATTTTACGAGGTACCTAAAAATCATAGAATCGCACGCCGCGTCTTTTGGCGCAGGTCGCGGGGCATTCCGCGAGAATCGATTCCCGGAGGCCAGGAGAGCCCCCCCTAGGTCAAAGTCGGTGAGTCATGCCCCAAGCGTCTGCCGGACGAAGCAAAGTCTCAACTGGCAAATACATAATAATGGTGGTTATAGCGTCAGTTCATGTGCGCAGAGTGCTGACTCGTCTTGCTGGCAACTGCAATCTGGGCTTTGATGGCTGCGCCCCTGTGTCGATCGATCGGCCATCCTTGGATCCTGTGGTAGACCCGCGGGCCCACGATCATGTGCAAATTAATAATTGAAGCAGTGGATACAGGTTATTCACGCATTTTGTGGGGATCCAGATTGCGCCAGCCAGCGCTTATGCAGGCTGATACTGTAGACAAGTCGACTGATGCGAAATGCTCATGCACATGCGCCTGCATTTGAGCTACACACACGCGCTGCGCAGCACATGTCCTCGCGCCGGGGCCAGGCCACATGCACCTAACAGCAGCTGAGGTTCAGCGCTGGTGTTCCAGCTGCACTGGCGGGCGCGACACTGGAGTGTGGATTACTGCAGCTCTGAAGGCATTTTTGCATTAACAGGATTCTAGGGTGGCTGCATGCAATGGCTGGCATCCTAATACGTCACACAACAGCGTGAGGCCCAGCGGCATGCATGTGTTCTTCAGCTGCGCAGGGTTGAAGCAAGCGTGACTTGTGCGTGGAAGTTCAGGCAATTGTATGTGCAACAGCGCGTTTCATGGCGAGGTGCGTGCCGTGCAAATCGCCATGAAACCACAGCCACTGTCTTCAAATGACGATGGTGCGTCACGAGAGCACTGCCGTGTGCTGACCATGCAGCTGGCTGTAGCCAGGACATGCTACCTACCTGCTGATGTGCAAATCAGCAACAGCTCTGGTTTGGGGGCCGTGAGATGATAGTAAAGACCATATCAGACAACAAGCAAGCCTGCTTATGCAGTGAGGGCGAGGTGACATGCATGGGTGGACGCGTAGACTAGTGATGGTTGAATGTCAGTAGGCTCATCGTGCAATATGGCCCCTTGTGTGCAGTGCGAGTCATCTCAGGTAATTGCATGATGGGATGCATGGAGTGCGTGACTCTCAAGTAATGATGTGCATGAGCGCCATGCATGGGGTATTCATGAAACGTGAATCCCTCGTGCTGCGACTTCGCGCACAACCTGAATGACTGCACATGGTTGGTGCCGCATGTGCTGCAATCGGGCATCGATCAGAAAAAAATATGAGTGTGCAGCCTCTGATGGAAGGCCGCATGCATGTGGTGCAGGAGGGCGTGCAAGGGGTCAGCCGTTGTCGTGTGCTGAGCAGGGATCAGTGGGTAAAGCTGAGTGCAGGGAGCCGACTGCGAAGGTTTCTGCTAAAGCTGGGGGTGATTGAAGCGATGCGGCAGGTTTGACGCTTGTTGCGCCATCACCTTCCCTAGATCTGCTGTAGTTCATACACATATGCCACCATGAGCCCTCTGCTTGGTAATCAACAAGCATTTCCGTGGTGGTCCTGACCTGCAAGGATCCAGGGAAGGGGCACCCATACACCTTGCAGCGAACACACATGTCTGCTCTCTCCCGTGGTCGGCATCACTGCCTGTCGTTGCTGTCAGCAGCTCCCAACGCCGAGACATCAATAGCCAAGCCGTCGTCCGCTACCCTTGGGTGGGGCTGCCCGTAATCGACGGCAGCTGAGTAGTTTGCGGCCTGCTGGTCCTTGTGTGACTGCAGCCCCTTCTGGCCCTGCTGGAAGGCAGCAGGCAGCCAGTGCTGCAGGCCCCCATACTCTGGAGTGATGAGGTTGGTGCGATGACGGATGAGCCGGTGAGTGTGTCAAGTGCGCAGGGACGTGGGGCAACAGAAAGTGCAGGCAGAGGGGGGGGGCTTGAGCTCATCCGCCAGAAGCGCCTGCAAATGCAGCGATACAAGAATGGCACAGCGCATGCATAGGGTTCCTTGAGATTTACACGGGGCACTGTGGCTCGCTGTGCTTGTGAATGACTGGCGCTCATGCTCACCTTCAATGTAATGCAGGGCAATCCTCTTGCATCTGCACGCAGGTGGGAGTCAGGAATTTTGAAGGGGTCAACACCCAGGCATTGCATGTTGGTGCTGACAACCGGCGGAACCCGTCCTGCATATGGGGGAGGAATGAAGCCGCCAGCGAGCATGGCTCGCAACAAACTCATCTGAATGCAAAAGAAATTGCAAATCCATGCGCCTAGCTCACTTCTTGTCAGGAGCCACGCCGTTGCGCCTGGACCGTTGCGGGGCAGACAGACGGGCGGTGTGGGTGTATAGTGGCCATGGTGGTCGTGTAAAAGATCGGCTCTGTTTGTTTGAAGGTGCGCATGAACAAACGCACAGCTGCCCTCCGTCCCCCCCCATCTTCTTGGCCAGTCGTCTGGGTGCCTTGCACAGCGCACCGCCAAATGCGCGCACACTGTGTCGGCATGCTGCTCGCCCGCAGATCTGTTGGGACCCGCACCATGCATCGACAATGCGCGGGTTGATGTGCTTGGTAGCCAGCTTCCACCTCAGCCCAATCTCCTGGCGGGTCGACATCAGCAGCCCCTTGCCATCGGGGGCCTCCTCCCTGCATGGAATGGGCGGGTGGCCACATCATGTCAAAGGTGGCGAATTGACTTCCCCTAGGTGCCAGAGGCAGCGCTGCAAAGGGTGGGCGCAGCAATCGCACAGCATCCCTAGGCAGCATGAGAAACCCTGGCAATCCTGGTTCAGAGTCAATACGCATGCCGCAAGCACGCACACACACACGCACACACACGCACACACACACACACAGACACACACACACACACACACACGCACACACACACACACACACACGCACACACGCATGTGTGCGCACATGCACACCCAATCACGCGTGCATGTGCATGTGCAGGTGCACGCACACACACACACGCACACACACACACACACACGCACACACACACACACGCACGCACGCATGTGTGCGCACATGCACACATGCGCGCGCGCACACACGCACCCATACACACACACACACACGCGTGCGCACACACCCACACGCACGCACGCACGCACACGCGCACGCACGCACGCATACACACGCACACACAAACACACACACACACACACACACACACACACACACAACTTTTGCACAAGGTGAGCAGCATCAATATTGTGCATCACCACCATTCTGTGCTGTGCTCACCAGTTGTGCTCGGTGCGGACCGACCACGCGCACCCCATGCGCGAGCAGCCGCGCACTGCGTAGTATATCCTGTTGCTCTCCAGGCTCCGCACAACGGAGGTGCCTGCGGATGCAGAATATCAAAGTGGCCGGCGTGACACGCGTGAGAGGGCAAAGGGTGTGTCAAGAGGGGGGCCGGAGGTTCTGCCAGAACCCCAGGGTTCTGCCAGAACTAAAAGTGTGAGTGGCCACATCAGAGGCCCTTGTCAGCCGCTGCCGCTTACTGTTGACGTGGTCAATGCTGAGCTTTGTGTAGTCAGCCAGCTTGGTCGCCTTCGTCACACCGGGGTTCGGCGTAAGGACGCTGCTCGGGCATACGTAGGGGGCGTGGTCGTCCCCGGTCTCCTTGCAGCCGGTGGCGACGAACTCGCGCATGCTGATCGAGGGGGAGAGCTTGTTGCGCCTCGCCTCCTGGGAGTCCAGGTGGGGGTGGCTGGCCCACCATGAGATGTGGTCGCGGGGGTGGAACAGCAGGAAGTTGGGGTACTTGGTGCCGTTGATCACCTGGGATGGTAAAACACGGGTCCGAGGCCATGAGCAAGCTCGATTATTGGGGGAGCAAGTTGATTGTATGACATGCTTGGGCGCGACACTTGCTCCTCGCAAGCGGGTGTGCAGCGCAGCATGTCTCAAGCGATGTCGCGAGGCACAGGGCCGGGGTCTGCCGCTTGTGCCACCACAGGCGGCCAAGCAGTCAACGTCTGCATGCCCTAAGCAGTACAAGTCCTGGCTTCAAGGCCGAAGTGGGGCCCCACCGTAGAGCCCTGCAGATTATTGAAGAACCTGCGGCACCATCAAGGGTTAAAGGCCGGGGTGATGGGGCAAAGGGTACCAAGGGTGCAGGATGCATACCCGCTCACCCAAACATCGGCGCCTGGGTCGTACAGGGCTTTTCACCTTGCGCTGCTACTAGGGTGTGCCTGCAACAGGTTTCTCTTGCTGCTGCAAGGTGCATCATCACAAGCACCTCATCCTGGTGGCTCCCAGGCCTGCCCGGCTGCCAGCCTTGCTTCCCAATTTCCTCCAGCCTGCAGGACGCTGCACAAAGAAGCCACCCTTGAAAACACACAAGCTTGCAGTGCCTCACTCGCCCCGGCCCCCTCACCAGCGCATCATTTCAGGGGTTATGCCGGGGAAGGGGTTATGCTTGATGTCGATGGTCATCATATTGTTGTCACCCACACTGCAGCTCCAGCTGCGGGAGTCTGCATAAGTACGAAAGTCCCACATTGGCGGGCGCGCCCCGGCCTCTGGGAAGGCCTGGGGGTTGTCCGTGACGCAACCGCCGGCGTTGGAGTGTTGGTATCTTTTTGTGGAGCCCGGCGTAAGGCCTGCGCTATCACCTTTTTAAACCCCATGGCTGCTTTTTAAGCATTTATAACAACCCTACCAGCCCCCACTCAAGCAAGCCACCTTGCACGTGTGCGGTCCAGGCCTTGTCACGTTGGTTTGAGATATACCCCAGGTTGTACAAATGAGCTCACTAAGGTGGCGCGGATACCCCGGCCTCAACCCCTGCACCCTACACTCATGCATGCGGCCCAGCACTCACAGAGTCCAGACCTTTGCTGCCCCGCTCACCGAGTTGTCAGTGAAAAGCTGCCGGTCAATGGTCGCCACGGGCCACTCGTCGGCGCCGCCTGAAGGGAAGTTTGGGCAGTAGCTGTTCTTGCTTGCCAGCTCAGTACCCTCTGGGGCTTGCTTCAAGAGGCAGTTGTTGTTCGCTGAGTCGCTGCGGGAAAACTGCCTGCACGACGGTTGTGATAAAGAGGAACACGCGGCAATGTGAGGCTTGTGCTATGTTTGACAGCCGGCATGGCAAAGTTTTCGTTTGCAGAGGGATCACAGTGTCAGCCCTGCAATAAGGCTGTTGATACACCGCAGCGGCACGTTCAAAGGGAGGAAGGTGTGGGGCCAGGACGGGCTGGCTACCAGGGCAACGATGGGCATCAGGCGGGGCTGGGGTTCGTGGGGGGATCACAAGGAAGAGTTGCGTGCGGAGGTTTGAAAAGGGCGGCACGGGGTGCGTGCAGGCTGGAGAGCGTTGGTCGGACTGGAGAGAACACCCCACCTGAGGAAGCAGGCATATGAGCACCCGTGCACGGCAGCGACGGAGCCCTTGGGTACCGCCACATTCAGGTGGTTGGTGTAGGACCACGCATCTGGCTGCACGGGCATGTCTGACGCCTTGATCAGGACCTCGCCAGCTGTCGGCTGGTAGCTGCGGTTGGGCGGCGGTTAGCGGGCGGCGGGCGGCTGATGCACTTGCAAGTGTGCACTGGTAGGCACGACAGAGGGGGTTAGATGGGGGCAGCTCACCAAGCCGTGGCTGGCAAGCTCGGCGAGCACAAGGTGTGTGCACTGACTCCCCCAACCCCCTGGTTTTGGAATCCCTGACCAGGCGCCACGACGTGGGTCTGCAGCAAGGCGCCCCAAAACATCACACAGCTGCATTTATATGCATTCCTTCGCTCTCCCAAGTGCTTCAGCTCACTCGCTCCAGTAAGTGGGCGCGTCGCCACGGCCAGATCGATGACGCGCCATGCTCAGTGTTGCCGCAGCAGCAGCGGCGTCGTCGGCAATTTCGCTGGGCACGATGCCGTTGTTGCAGGCAGGCATGGAGGCCTCCTTTGCGCCTTTGGCGCTGGCGCAGGGCAGCATGGGGAAGGGGTCGTTTTCAAAGGTGACGCGGCGGATGTTGACGGTGGCGCTCAGTCTCTGAACGAACGTGCTATCGCCGACTGAGGGAGTCGAAGGGGGGGCAGGCGGATGGAGATTGGGTTACGAAGGCGCATGCATACAGCCCGCAGACCTGTCAGTGACAAGCAAGCACACGGCGCATGTACCGGGTGCGAGCGGCCAGGGGCGCCATGGCGCATGTCCAGGGCTCATCAGGGGGTTAAAGGCTGCCAGGTAGGTCGTGTTGTGATGGCAAAATCAGCCCCAGTGCACTTGCGCTGTGGCCCTGCACCTCACCATTGGGGCTGCCAAAAGCAATCAGGCCCACTTTCACACCAGCCTTGCGGTAATCAAGGTAGGTCTGGGCCTGAGGAACGAGGGTGGGCAAGCAGGAAGGACAAGAGGACGTGTAACATTGTACACATCTGGGGCCGGTGTGTGGAGGGAGTCCACTTGAGGAGTGTACCACTTTGCCGCCGCCACCAAGCTGCACGGAATGGGGCCTCTCACCCTGTTCCTTCCCCAGGCGCCCTGATCCTTATCCAGACGGCGGGCTGCAAGCACCAACAACCGCAAGCGCGCGCCGCGGCACGACGCGCCACTGAATACTGCGTCCCACCCACCGCGTAGGAGAGGAGCGTCGCAAGCGCCGCCCCCTGGGAGTGACCTGTGATGGTCACTGCGGCCATCCGGCTGCCGGGGGGCTTGGCCGCACCCGCTTGAGGCGCCACCTCCGCCTCCAGGGCGTCGCGCAGCTGCGGCCAGAGGTCATCGAAGCCGAGGGTGAAGCCAATGTGTGTCTCGCCCGGGAACCTGGCGGCGTCAGAGCCGCTGCTGAGGGGGAAGGCGTGCTCTGAGGTGCGGTTGTACATTAAGTCTGGGGAAGCAGGATTGAATGCGTGTGTTTGCAGGGGGGCATAAATTGCGAGCTGAAACCGGTGTGGGGCTTTGCCTGTCGAGCATGCATAACACCGTCATGCGTATGGCATAAGCAAGGTCTGCGAGTGCGTATTCAGGAGTGAATGACGCAGGCACCCTGTGCCGCCCGACGCCCCAGCAGCTGGCGATCCGCAGCGCGCCCCAATATCCACGCCGCCGCCGGGGCCCCCGCCCGCCCGGCCGCGGCCGCCGCTGTGGCCGCACTCACTGCGAGCCCACTCCAGCTGAGTGCCGCTCCCGCGGACCGCTACGATCAGGTGCCTCTTGGACTGCTGCTTCATGATGACCATTATGGGGTACCTTTTTCCCCTCTCAGCCATTGTGTACACACCCTTGGGGAAGCCAGGGGCTGCTGCGTCGGCGCCGACCATGTCCCAGCCGTCCGGCACCAAGTAGCCGGCTGACTGGCCTCCAAACGGCCTGGAACATGGCCAGTACCACTTGCTGCGTGTTTGCGGATGATTGGGGATGTAAGTGCTAGGCGGTGAGCCAGTGAGTTAAAAAATGTGCAGCGGCACGCACAGCTCAACGCGAGGG